GTTTCATCAGACGTGGATGACCTGGACGATATTTTTGATACTGTTCTGATCGCACATATAACGATTCCTGTTATTGGTTTCCCATTTTCTCACGACTTCCATTTTCCGCAGATGCGTAGGCGGCAAAGAAATGACGCGTTTTGTTCACGTATTGTTGCGCTTAATCTATCTTTTCAATATAAAAATTCTTGATATTACAGCTAGAAATAAGACAGTTTATTTTTAGATCTACTTGAACATATATAATAAATTAAAGACTTTTCTGAACATTTAAAAATTTTTACGCGTTTTATTAATTAATAAATATGCATGTAAATTAATTTCAACTTTTTGAAAGGATAAAAATCAAAACATTTTATTATATATAATATTTCCAAAATTATATGTAATATCAAGAGAATATATTTATAAATAAATTTTATGAAAACAATCAGTGCTTCAATTTATCATTCATAATTAGAAACATGAGTAATCAAAACATCTTATTGTTAGAAAAAAATTTTTATTTCAAAATTATATGTCAAATATTGTGTTCGATTATTGATTATGTATGTATTCGCGATGATCAATTATTTTACACACAACAAAACAAAATCTAAGCAAAACTTTCTTTTTGATAAGAAATAAACGATTGTAGAGATTGTTTTTTTTTTTCGTGGAAAGTGGAAAATAGAAAAAGCCTTTTCTCGCCAGACTGACCGATCATCGCTCGTCAGCGCTATCCGGCAGGGTGTCACATGGAAAGATCGAAACATATAGAAAGTGAAGTTTTCTCTCTCTCATTCTCTATCTTCTTTTCAATCTCTCTCTCTCTCTCGTTCGCGCGATTGATTTCTCCGCATGAAAAATCGCGATTGTCTGGAGACGTGTCCGAGAGTGAGAAGAGATCGGCTCGCGTGTCGAATATGTCGAAGGCTTGTGAATGTGATGTCGCACAAGTTATGATACTGACATTATGTACAAATTCGCGATTTGGTATTCTGATGCTAACGCCGGTAGGACGTTCGTTGAACGGCAAAACAGAACGGTCTAAACAGGCAATGCGCATTCGTCGCATTGCTGATTAGGGCATCGCCATTAGGCTTAATCCGTATGTAGACGCGCACGAAATACGTGCTAGCGGGACATTGCTGCGTTTGTGCGTGCGTGTTATCACGGGTCGAGAGTTTAACATGTGTCTGGTGAGCGAGTTAACACGCATGCTATGTTAGTATGCAGCGAAATCCCTTTCTCTCTCTCTCTTTCTCTCCGTCTCTCTGTTTCTACAAGCTCGTCTTTTAGCTTCCATCTCACCAACTGCTATGTATGTTTATCTGTTTGCATCGCTATCTCGGTAATTTTGTCTGTCCGACGATTTGGATCGTTAGGGTGATGACAAACGATGACGGGAGTGTTCGGCGTTTGATTTGTTACCTCTCGTTTTCTGGCGTTGAACTAATTCATTCAAAATTATGCAAAACTATGCCGATATCGTTGCATTGATACTTTGATCTCAAGATCTTTACATAATCCTTCCTCTATTAGCATTCTGTGAATTTAATTATTAGAGAATTTACGCGGTAGAGATTAAACAAGACGTAGAATGAAATGTGCAATATAAAACGACATGATTTTAACATATGTATATATCTCTTTAGTAATATCACTACTTGAAATAAAATAATTATTGCAAAAAAGAAACAAATTAATAAAATAATATATTAGGTATATAACCAATATTGTCAAATTTCCAGTTCTTCTATCTAACAGGTAATTCAATTCTGTATTGTTTTCCACATATCTGTAATGGAGTATAACATGATATGGCGATAGATATATGAAATAAAGGGTCATAACTAACTGTGCAAAATAAAGGCAGAAATGCCTATATTGAAAAATAATATCGTATAACATAAAATTTTTTCGACTAACCAATGATCGATCCGCCAGAGGCGAAATTTAAAGCGCGCATGCTTATTTATGCGTGGCCTGCAATAAATCGCTGGTGATTATTGTATCAAATTGTCTCGCGCATGGTGAACTTCGATTCGATTATTCAACCGTTTCATTTCGCGTTTATTTGCGATTATAAGATTAACTTTCATACGCGTATGCTGTTTATTGTTGTCTGTCCACGCTAATTGCTTTCTACTAGCTCTTGATCATGCCGTGTCAAAACAAGCGCGTTTAATTGTTTTTTGTTCAATTTTGCTTATTATCTTCAAATAAGTGTAATTATTGTGAACGCTATATCATTGCGTTATTGTTACGCTAATTTTGCGTGCGTGCATTTTCTCTGAATTTTAGATTTGCTTTTCTGTTTGTATATATGTAGGTATCAAATATTTGTATATTATATATCTATTCAATTTATTTTCCAAATGTGTTTCGAACGATTTTTATATAGACTAATTTAATGAAAATCATTAAATTATAAGAGAAGTAATTTAATTAAAAATAATTTTTTCATAATTCACAATATTTAATTTATTTTCCAATGATTTAGAGTTTGTGTATGTATACTTATTATTCTTTTTTATAAAATTTACACATCTTTTTCATGTTCATTTTATTTTCATATTTATTTTAAATCTTGATAATTTCATGTACACTCTAGTGTGAAATTAAATGAGACACCCGATTAAATATCTTTGTGCTATTCAATGTTGTAAAGCCGTTAATGAAGGGTTAATCGTGGACGATAGAAAATTAGAGCATAATTAAAGTGTTTACAATGGGCTACTTAAGCCGATTGTGAGTTTATGCCGATTGCATTCAATTACTGATTCTCCGTGTCACGAGTTGAATCATGAATCGGACGAGCACAAATTTAGATACGATTTCACAATTCGCGAATTAATACATGCAGTCTCGCACTAAAGTACTAAAGCATGACTTATCGAATATCTGTGTCTAATTAATGGTTAATTGTTCGAATTGATGGTTTAATATGTTATTCGTATAATTATAATTCCTATGATTGTGATTTTTAGAGTGACTACATAAGAATATGTGCGTATATTTGCAGCAAACAATCTAAAATCAATATTTTCTTCTATATTCAATACAAACATTAAGATTTATATACAGTTACTGGTATCCATTTTTTAGCTTTCTATTATGTGCTTCCTTATTATTAATTTATAGGAAAAACAAATAAAAAAATAAATATCTTCAATGATAAATATCTTTTGATATAACAGTACTTTCGAATTATTTGATTATTGGCAATGTGTGTGTGATATGTACATATATATTATATAGTACATATATTTTTTTTAAATGTTCATTATTTTGTCATTTCTGCTCGATAAAGTACAGACAATTTGATCTGTGTGATAATAATATAATTATCGGAAGAAAAGAAAGCTTAAATGTCAATATTAGATTGTAAAACCTGTCCTACAAACGTCATAAAATTTATTGTGTAATAAAATTACTTATTAGTATAAAAATCTTATTTTAGAACAGTCATAAACTTTTTTACACTAAAAAAACATGGATTTTTTTTTAACGTCGACAATTTCTAACACTTTAAAAATCGGATTTATTTTTGAAAAAATGTCGAAAATTCGAAAAATGTTGAAATGTGATAAAACAAATCGTATATACTGTAGAGAGAGAGTGCGTTATAACTTGGTGAATCGTATAATAAAATTGATCACGGGGTATATCAACGTTACCGGAACTCAAGAGTGGCGTCGCGAAAAGTACGCGAGCGTATCGCGCCGATTATCGCACGGCAATTTTATGAAACACGGAAAATTGCCGGATCGAACACTCCAGTCACGTTTTATTTTCCATTGAATCCACGTAGCATGCATCCCCAAGATTCGACCGCTCGTAAAACGTACCGTAAAGGCAATTGCTTCTCGCCTTTACGTTTCTCGTAAATCGGTTTCTCCCGATGCGGATTACCCAGATTATTTCGAGGGGGGTGGAAAGGGGGAAGTCCGGCGGAGACGACCCTTTTTCTCTTTTGTTCGTGCAAAGAAGGGCTTTTGCGCGCCAGATTTACCACGAAGCGCCTGCACTTCCGGCATTAGCATCGACGTTGCCTTAACTAAATACCTTTCCGTTCAAAGATACACACACACACACACATACATACACACACACACTCTTTTGTATTACACGTGCAGGCAAAGTGGCACTTTGTGTGCGTGTTTTCTGTGCGAAAAGTGGCCGATTTCCCACGCCGCCATTTAGCGGCGACGCGGTGAGTGAATAAGCCGCATTCAAAGTCATTGCTCACGGCTGAAGCCGTGGGCAATGACTTTGAACGCGGTTATTTCCGCACCGTGCCGCCGCAAAATGGCGGCGTGCGATCGACCACCTCGCGCACAGAAAACGCGCACAAAGCCACTTTGCCTGCACTTGTAATACAAAATATCGTGTGTATCAAGTGCGAATTGACAATTGTTCACTCGTGTGGGGTGGTCCATCCCCCGCACTCGTGACCAATTGTCAACTTTCCGCACTTGATACACAATATACTATTATCTCTTCCTCTCTGTCGCGGCTAGCCGAAATGCATGTGACAAAAGGACACGCATTCTCGAGTTCTCCATTTTGATTTCTGATGCACGTCGACACGAGATTGTTACGAATTAGCGGTGCACGGAGAAAGTGACGTTTTTCCTTTCGAATGAGAAAAAAGCAATCGGTTGGGCAGTAACTCGATGTGTCATCGTGGTTTCCATTGAGATCAGAAAAGAGAAAGAATAGATAATCGCGTGGGCGCTTTTACACTTGGCGCGTTCTCGCTTTACGTGCTATGCATCTTGTGTCGTAATCTGACGTATCGCTAATAAATTGTAATTCACAATGCTTTTGCACGAGACGCGAATGATCGGTTAATTGAAAACTGTGTTGTTCTTACAGGGGAGAAAATTGATGTCTTTCTATATTGGCAGTTTCTCTTTCTCTCCTTTATTAATAAAAACATCGTGAATTACATGCAACGTATCAACTAATAACACACGCTGTGTCTTAATCATTTTCCTTCTTCTTCTTTTTTCGGAATCTCACTTTATAATCCCGTACAAAATGCAGTATCGTCCCGCGATCACATCTATTAGATGGAATTATATACGTGGAAACGCATTAACGCGTAAACGCATGATGATGAGGAACGTACCGCGACGGATGTGAACTCCGAGTCGTGGCGCCATTTCCGTTTCTTTTTTTTTTTTTTCATTTACACCGAGGATATGTACAAAATGATGAGGGACACCAATAGACAACTCGAGGACAGTATCGGCCCCGCGGTTCCGGTCTGCATCGCTTCCGGTCGCTCGCCTGTAACACGAAGAGCAATCCTACTTGAGACACGGTCGGTCAACCCTTATGAATATTCATTATTTGAAAATATAATTCAATATTTTTATCGCAATATCTACATAAAAAAAAAAAGACTAATTTAAGAGAATATTTCTCTCTATTTTCTCGCGCGGTTCCGTCTTCTTTTATCGTGACACGTTGGCGTTGAATTATCCTTCCAACTGGAACTCAGCTAACCGGCTATACATTTTTATTACGTCACTCCCGTTTCTGTTACGCGGTAAACCCATTATTACGAGAGGTTCTCGGGGGTTTATGCCAGGAATAAATAAACCATCCATCAATCTATCAAGTCTCATTCAGTGAATATAATCTACTTCACGCGAACCGGAAGAGAGAAAAGGGTAAAGAAGGGAGAACGGGTGCAAGAAAGGGAAGGGACTGTAAAACGGGCCGGGATTGCGGGCGTGATCCGGATAACGAGAGCTTACTATGCAGCACGTGCCACTGCCACGGATTGGATTTTTGCATGAAAAGTTATTGAAATACTAGTGACGTGTGTACACCGCGCGAGGAAAGTTTCTCCGTCCAATGTGACTGGCTGAAATTAATTGAATCGCGCGCACGCTCGTTCATTCCGCGTCGCGGAACGCGTCGCAAAACTTTTTAATGAATTTCAACCTGCGAGCGCGATACATTCGGATAAATGATCCCAATTTCTGGCGGGCGCAATTTGCCGGACGACGCGACGCGGCGAGATCGCCATGTTTGTTTGTTTGGAATGTTGATCGCGGACCATTTCGCCGCTATTGTAAAAGTTCCGGTCGGAGGGTACATGTATACACACATACATACATATATATATATATATTATAAAAAAAAAATATATATATATACACAGAAAAAAAGGAATCCTTGATTCAAGTATATTTTTATTCTTGAACGCTATTTGATTGATTTAAATATAGAATGCTCTTTGTAATCACAAATTTTCATTTGCCTTAATAATAAATAAGTTTGTGTTAAGTATATTTTATCTTTAAGATATATTCTTGTTTTAAAAATCACATATTGTAAAAACAAACTTAGTCACATTTGAACTAAGAATAATAATTCTTATTATATTCTTCATATTATATATATTTAAAAGTACCGTTTATATTCGATGCTCACTTGTCCTTGAAATACTTATAAGTAAATTTCAGCTTCAACCAAGAATATTTTGCACTTTGTTTTAAGGATAAATTATCCTTTATCCAAAATTATTTATATTTGGCGTTATTATAAGGATAAAATATACTTGAATCAAGGCATATTTGCATTCTTTCAAGGATACTGTTTTTTTGTATATAATATATATAACTAAGTTTGTTTTTACAATATGTGATTTTTAAAACAAGAATATATCTTAAAGATAAAATATACTTAACACAAACTTATTTATTATTAAGGCAAATGAAAATTTGTGATTACAAAGAGCATTCTATATTTAAATCAATCAAATAGCGTTCAAGAATAAAAATATACTTGAATCAAGGATTCCTTTTTTTCTGTGTATATATAATATATACATATATATATACACAGCAAAAAAAAATATATATATATTAGGCTCGACGTTCCATCGGATATCGGTCACTTCGGAAAGCGAATCGAAGTACAATTTCCGGAGACGCGCGAGCCTCGCCTCTCCGTTTATCCGTTAGGTCGGACGCGAAATTTTCCGACTGGATCCTCGTAAATTTTCCAAGTTTTGCGCCCACCACCGCGAAACTTTGCTACGTTCGTTCGCGCTATCCGCTATTTCTTATCGCGACGCAAGAGATTTCGAAAAGACATTTCTTCCGACGACGCGGCCGGAATTGGGGGTTGCAAAAGAAAAGGGGAGAAGGTGAGGGAAAGAATAATAGGAAGAAGGTGGGAGACGAACTTACGGAACTTCCTCCGAAATTGTTTTTAACGCATTGTAGCCGGAAAATTCGGGAGAAATTATTTCGGAGTATGGCTAATGGCAAAGTTTTCGCGCGAATTCGAGGAGACCTATATTTCTTTCGAATGTGGAATATCTCGGTCGCCACCAGCTAGAGACGAGAACGTCTCTGTATGCGTGTATACGAATACGAATCGAAGAGTAATTTCCGCCCTCCGTTCAAGCCGTATCAAACCGGATAGTTGTAAATTTTTGCGAGCTTTTAAGATGTCGTATTCTATGGACAGGGTCGGGATTTTTCGACGGTAAAATTTTAAGAGCGTGTACTCGAGAGTTATTTCTCGTCGTTGCAATTTGTATTTTTTCGCGATAATATCATGCATTAATCGGTATCGATTTAGATTTTCTGCAGCAAATATTTTAGAAAAAAATCGAGAAGACTAAAGCGACAATTTTTAAGCTCGAATTTATTCTTAATGTATTTGCGTGTTAATTCTCACGGTTTAAGTGAAAATTATATCAATATATGAAATAAATTCATTCAACTTGATGAAAATATTAAAAGAAAGGCACCGGAATCGATATTATTCTCTATCTTTCTCTAGATTTTAATTAAAAATATAAAATAAAAATTTCTGCCTTTTATCTATCTAGAGATATTTATTATGGAAATTACTCTCTCAAACTATATTATAATTTTGATAATGTTGTTTCAAACTTTTGAATAAATGGCTTTTCGCGAAACACATCAAAAATATATAACAAAATTTTTTATAAATATTCAACGATAGAGTTCTACGTAAATAATTTCATTAATGGAACACTATTGGAAAAAATGGCTTCTCTTCAACTATATATCCGAATATATTGAGAATAGATAAACTACCTGAATATAAAGAATATCGTATCTCTTTTATAACGTTTTTGCAAATAGTCGTTTGTTATACAAGATAGTACACGATTACAAACGTACGACCGGATTATTTTTGTTTTTTCCATGATGTCCCATTTCACGATTTTACAAATTCCGATAACGGTGATACAAGTATATATATTCATTGAAATTTATTCCGTATTCGCGATATTGTCGTGTATTGGCGAAAAAACAGGCCAGGATAACGAATATAATTCAATGTCCATCGCACGCGTTTTATTAATAAATTATTCAAGTCGAATCATCGAAGCGTTCGCCAACTCGGCGCGCGATTCCTTTTCTCCGTCGCGGATCACGAAGGGCCTTATTATACGAAACCGCACTTTATATATATATATATATATATATATATATATATATATATATATATATATATATTATACGAAACCGCACTATATATATATATATATATATATATATATATCTATTATATATATATATTATATATATATATTTATATATATATATATATTTATATATATATATATATATATATATATATATATACTTTATATATATATATATATATATATATATTATACGAATACTATATATATATATATATATGTACGATATTCGCCGCATTTGTGTATATTCGCGTAGGCGAGTATTTGTACGCGCGAACTTCGCGACTGCATAATTGCCCGAAGAGTTGATTAGAGCGAAGCAAGTTTCGAAAGCGAGCCCTGGGAAGGGACAGCTGGCTGAAGTACAGACCGATATTATTCTCGGGGCATCCCCAAGGTACACGCGAGATCACGCGATGAGAGTAATAAGAATGCGAGGGAATATTTTTTTATTTTCATTTTCTCGGGCATCATTATCGTCCGATTTCCATTCTAAGCGGATTCGCGAATGGCGGGAGAGCCCTATTTGTACGTTCCGGAAAACTTTTTCCTATCCACAATGGCCGCGAGAGAGGGAGAAAGGGATTCTAACGATCGCGGTCGCGAAATATCCCGGAGTTTACGAGCTTGGGTAAATTGTTAATGCTTAGAGGCCCTGCGTGGGAATCCCCGAACACAGCGGCGGCCAATAGAATAATTCTGCACGCTGCAAAACGGGGACCGACGACAACTTTGGGAATTTGTGGGGCGGAAATTGCAACTTACGGAATGAATAGTCGATTCGAAATTCCGATATCTCTCCTCTCGTGCGCTTCGAAGCGACATTGATGTCTAGTCGTCGCACGACGAGACAGACATTACTTTGATTCTATGGTATTACATCTAGGTACAAGTGGGAGTCCGAAATTTTTATATTATATCGCAATATATTATTATTATTATTCAATAAATTTATTCGAAAGAAGTTTGTGTTTATCTTGGAAAATTTATAGATTTTATGCAGGATCGCAGAAAAAAAGGAATCCTTGATTCAAGTATATTTTTATTCTTGAACGCTATTTGATTGATTTAAGCATAGAATGCTCTTTATAATCAAAAATTTTTATTTGCCCTAATAATAAATAAGTTTGTGTGAAGTATATTTTATCCTTAAGATATATTCTTGTTTTAAAAATTGCATATGGTAAAAACAAACTTAGTCACATTTGAACTAAGAGTTATTATTGTATATATACTTGAAAGTAGCGCTTGTATCCGATGTCACTTGTCACTTGTTCTTGCAATATTTATAAGTAAATTTCAGCTTCAACCAAGAATATTTTGCACTTTGTTTTAAGGATAAATTATCCTTTATCCAAAATTATTTATATTCGGCGTTATTATAAGGATAAAATATACTTGAATCAAGGGATATTTGCATTCTTTCAAGGATACTGTTTTTTCGGTGTTTAATTCTATGGTATTACATGTAGGTACAAGTGGGAGTCCAAAATTTTTATATTATATCGCAATATATTATTATTATTCAATAAATTCATTCGAAAGAAGTTTGTGTTTATCTTGGAAAATTGATAGATTTTATGCAGGATTCTGAATAATTATGCGCAGCATTTGGGATTTCTTTAAATAAGTGTTGGCAAACGTATATACCCAGCAAACACCGATATATAATTGTTACATTACTATAATAAAACGAAATATAACAGGTAATATAACGTGTACGTTACATGTAACATCCACGTTAGTTGTAATTTCCCACTCATAGATGTAACATTTCAATATAACATATATTACATTGTAGTTATATCGTAATTATACACCAAATAGCACATTGATGTATTGATAAGTCAGTGCTATCTTGGGATATAATGACAATATAACTACAATGTAATATATGTAATATTAAAAATGTTACATCTATGAATAGGAAATTACAACTAACATATACGTTACATGTAACATGCTTAAGTATATAACATTTATATACTGTGTTTGCTGCGAGGGGGTAACCACTTAATGTAATCGTGGGACAGTGTCCCCGAAATCATTATGAAATCCTTATGAAATCTCGTGTAATCGTTTGCAATCAGATGTAATTGATAAAGTCAAATGAAATCATGCGGAATCATTAGAAATCATAATGAAATCATATGTAGTCAGCAGAAATCATTTTGAATTTTCGTGTAATCATTGGAATCATGTGTAATCATTATGAAATCTGTGATGAAATCATGTGTGGCACGAGCACTTTCCGTAGTAAATTGCGATCAAATTCAAGATAAAATGCTATTTATAATTTTATGTGTCACATAAAATCCTAAATGATTACATGTGCAATCACGAAAATGCATTGTGTAATCAGATGAAATCATTACTTTTATGAAATGATTTCATATGTAATGAAAAAAATCCATTTGCAATCAGATGAAATCGTTTGTAATTAGATGAAATCATGAAATCAAATGAAATCACGAAATCAAATGAAATCATGAAATCAAATGAAATCATGAAATCATGTAATCTGTGGGACAACATTTTAGCTAGTGGTTACCCCCTCGGTTTGCTGGGTATAATTCGACGGAAACTCAAAATTGTGGAAACAAACTTCGGGGGCTACTTTCGACAGAACTGATTGAACGATAGGGTGCAAGATTTCTTACGCCAGTATTTGCTCGGCCCACGTGAGCCCTCGCGACGTGTCGTATACCCGTAAAAACATCGGCAGACTCCTGGCGGAGACGGACACACTCGCAGGAGCAAAGACTCACCATTTAGGACATGAACCCTGATGGACGCCGTATTGGCGTTGCTGGGCTTGCAGCTGTACTCCCCGGAGTCCGAGGGCTGCGCCGTCTGAATAAGGAGCCAGGAGGTGGTGACGTCGCCACCCTTCTCGGTTATCACCGAAACGCCGCCCCTGGGACTGTCGTAGCTCAGGACGTTGTCATTGTAGTACCAGAAGATGTAGGCTGGTGGCTCCGAGCTAAAGTGTATGGCGCACGTCAGGTTTATCGTGCTGCCAGCACCGACGTACAGCTCGGGTCCGCCCAGTATCGTCGCCGTAGGTACTGCGATAAAGAAGAATTTTCTTTCGCTTTTCTCTCTCTCTTTTTCTCTTTCCTTTTTCTCCACCTCCTTACTTCCTCCACTATTTCTTGCACGTTCACCCTCTCGCTCGCTCGACCCGGATAACTCCAGAGATCGTGAAAGCTCTCCGCATGAAAGCCTTTCGGGAATGGTACTTAGCGAACAAGGGGGAATGAAAGATCTTTAAAGTCGTCTCGTGATCTGTGAGAAGTAACGAGGTGGAGCTTCTTAGCAAACGCAAGGTCAGTCTAATTGAAATAATGAGCGGGACGTCGACGTTATTCCCTACCCGGTGTTGAGAGCCGTGGGATCATCGTTAAACGTTTTAATCGTCAAGCATATCTTTCTTCATTAGATATATTGTGCATATACTTTTTTGCTTTATATCGATACCTTTTTTTTTACTCATTTAGAATCTGAATACTTTTTAAGCGCGACTCGGAGGTAAATTTATTCTCGCATAATTTATAACTTGTATTCTATGTCTTGGTATATCGATCGGTTAAATGAATATTTAATTTTAAATTTATGCACTCTTAAATTCTCCGCACAATATGCATTTATTAATTTAATTTTACAGAAATAAAATTAAAAAAAAAAAAACCCACGCTGATCTTCTAAACCGAGAAAAATATTAACGCGAATTAAAGAGATTTATATACACATTCTGCTACAATATATTTTACTACAATATTTAAAAAAATTTTTTTAAACAAAAAGGTAATATCGGATTAAATCGTGCGAATATATGTATGTGAAACTTACCAACGACGTTCAAGTGAAACTGATACGACTTGATAGGTATGGTGGAAATCTGACATTCGTAGATTCCCTGGTCTCGCTCCTGCGCCCATTTTATGCAGAGGGTCCACTCGGACCATTCGCTATTGTGACCCGCGTTTTGTCTATGTAGCGCTTGAAATCGCTGGTCGCTTGTGTATGTGTACGCCCCCGCCGTTAGAATGTGGATGTCCCTGTGCCTGACCCAGGATACCTTTGCAAACGAAAATGGCAGTAGAAGTGATAAATGACAAACAAATAATCAATATATATTATATGTTACATAGCGCTCGTAAAGTGTTTTGCATACCTTTGATTATTTTATTTTTCGAGAAATAAAAGTAATCTCGATATATTTCATATGTAATATTATTAATATTAATTACTGTTTTAAACGAAAAAAATGTATTTTTCGTTAAATGATAAAAATTTAATAATTTAAAACATCTATGGATATTTTTGAATTTTAAGAGAAAAAGAGAAGATGTTATTTATTTTTCTAAATCGATCTTCTTTTGAAAATCAATTTTTATATTACAAAATTTATTGCGCATTTTTAATTAATTTTTAATTATCCCCTTTACAATTATACAATTACATCATGGAACATTCGATAAACGAAAATTCAAAATAATAATTACACATTCTCGTACCATCTATAAAAGAGACAATTAATTTTAAAATACTCTTCCTCATTTATTTGAAAGTTTAAATCATTTCTTTGAAAAATAGATGCATGTGACACAAATGAGCGCAAATGAAAAAGTTGCATCTGCGATCTTTTCATAAATTTTATGCGTCACTTTAAGTGAGTTTTTCCAAAAGAGCAACTCACACTTTTGCAAGACTGGAAGCTTACTCTTGATAACTTTTTTCGAAAAATAAAAGTAATCTCGATATATTTCATATATAATATTATTAATATTAATTACTGTTTTAAACGAAAAAAAATGTATTTTTCGTTAAATGATAAAAATTTAATAATTTAAAACATCTATGGATATTTTTTGAATTTTAAGAGAAAAAGAGAAGATGTTATTTATTTTTCTAAATCGATCTTCAATTCTTTTGAAAATCAATTTTTATATTACAAAATTTATTGCGCATTTTTAATTAATTTTTAATTATCCCCTTTACAATTATACAATTACATCATGGAACATTCGATAAACGAAAATTCAAAATAATAATGTTACACATTCTCGTACCATCTTTAAAAGAGACAATTAATTTTAAAATACTCTTCCTCATTTATTTGAAAGTTGAAATCATTTCTTTGAAAAATAGATGCATGTGACACAAATGAGCGCAAATGAAAAAGTTGCATCTGCGATCTTTTCATAAATTTTATGCGTCACTTTAAGTGAGTTTTTCCAGAAGAGCAACTCACACTTTTGCAAGACTTACTCTTGATAACTTTGAACCTAACCCGCCAGACTGTGGTACAGTCTAGCGTTCGTGAAGTGCTTCGTATATATAGTATCTGATTTTATTGCGATTCCGCAATGGAAGGATTGAACGAGGTGGATTCGTCTATTTCCGTACTCGCGCGGAACACCGAAAAACTAGCGATCCATGAGCGAGAGACGGTAAGAAAAGTTGCGAAGGAAACTTTCCCGGGGAAGTTTTAGCTCTCCCTCTCTTTTCTTGGCGCACGCAAAGCAGATTCCGACGAATGCGGTGTCAGTGCGAAGCTAGGAGAGTCTTCGACGATTTCCACGGAAAGCCTTCGAACGCGAAATAAAAAGATTCTCCGTGGAAACGATCCCGGCGTTTTCTCTTACATTCGAGAGAAACCCTCTCCCTCGGAATTCTTCAGAAATAATATTATCCTAGAAGAGCCGCGCCCTTCATTCGGATCTTCTTGCATTTTTTTTTACGCGACTGACTTTCTCTATCGATTTGTCTCTTATCTTAACTCTCTTATAATAACTATTTTATCTCGCAAGATTATAACAAAGTATGAAAATTAACATAATACAGTTATTGATCGAATTGACAAATATAAAATTACAGAATAATATAAATTTAAAATCGGTTTGTATAAAATAGAATTCTTCATTGTCATGAATATATTTAATATAGAGATGAATCAAATATACATTGTATGTATTGTAAGAAAATTTTGAATAATTTTCTTATGATCATTAATTGTAAATAAAAATTGTTCGAAAAAGACAGTCTTTTATATTTGAAGACATTTTAATCATTCTAATTACATGAAAAGGACAATGAAGAGCTAATTTAATCGCATTTTCATTTCTTTCGTGGTATAATAATACATTGCAATGATGAGTAGACAGGGACGAGAAATTAAATCTTTCTGATGAGGAAAGTTCGGTCATTTAAAAGTTAGGCTGTAAGAAAAGACAGTTTTGTACGCTCTCATGTCGAAGCTCACGACTGTTTTAATATTCTCAAAGGCTACTCTAGAGACTCGTTAAGCTTTCAATAAAGCGTTACACATTTCTGTTCCGATGAAAAGCGAATATTTTTATTTTTTAATGATTATTTTTAAAATATTGAGTAAATAATTTTCCTCTTTTACAGTTTTTAAATATGCAACATGATGATGAAAAAGAGAAAAAAAAACATATAAATTCTATGCTGCAAAGAGATTATACTAGTGATAAAAATGATATTTAATATATAAAACTATATTCCGTGTGAAAGCATGACGTAAATACTTTTGATTCAATTATTTGTATTCGTATTAAATTGCATCAATCAAAGAGATGATTATTTTCGGCAAAATACGCATCGCCAAGTCATAATGCCGTTAAATCATAGTGTCCAAAGAGCCGTGCACGCGAAATAATATTCGCGTCGAGATAATTTATCGCCGCCGTCCGTCAGCCATCCATCCCGAAAGCAATCGCGGGAAGCAACGAGAGAGAGAACATTGGAATCCGCGGTGTAAGTTCGACGCGTATTAACGTCCGTTCTTCGCGCGGCGCGCACATTTCCCCAATGCCGGGAAATTTCAGAAATACATCCCCATGGGTGGTCTTTAGCGAGAAGCGAGGTCGAAACTTGGCTGTTCATCGATATTTTCACAGTATCCGACCTCGTACATAAACCAAGCGAGGAGAGAACGGTCAGTATGTGTATGCGCGCGTGTCGGCGCACACGTACGTACTTACTACTCGCCGTCTGCATACGTATGCATGTCCCGCCGTTGGCATCACTTAGCGTATTTACTCAGCGAAGTTTACGTCTCTCGCGTCTCGGCGTCTGGGCTAGCCGGCGATAGCTACGGGAACAAAAGCAGTTTAGCGCTTCCTAACCATCGGGACGAATGGGGCGACTCGCAGACGGGTGCGAAGCACCCGCGTGAAACAACAAGACGTCGGGAATGATGTATGTCGAATGTTAAGAGAAACTCGTGCGAACGTAACAGGAATGTGGAAAATGGTTTCCCATATTATCTGAAAATCAATTCGAGCGATACCTATACATTTCTATGCGCAAAGAAATCCTTCCAAAATCATGATTCATCAAAAAATACTCTGTGCTGACGTAACATATATTTTTAATATATATAATTAAGAATCCTCTAGTTTTATAATATTTGAGTATATTATATATTCTTTACTTTAACAAATCTCAAAGCATTTTTCAATTTATTATATCTCTTTTAATTATATAATTTTATTTTTCTTTAAACACTAATGAAAAATATCTTTTTTCAAATTTCGATTTCCAATTCAATTATTTTGTATATCACAATGTTTATAATTTTAATATTTATATTGAGTAAAAATATTTTAGAGAACTCGTGCGAACGTAACAGGAATGTGGAAAATGGTTTCCCATATTATCTGAAAATCAATTCGAGCGATACCTATACATTTCTATGCGCAAAGAAATCCTTCCAAAATCATGATTCATCAAAAAATACTCTGTGCTGACGTAACATATATTTTTAATATATATAATTAAGAATCCTCTAGTTTTATAATATTTGAGTATATTATATATTCTTTACTTTAACAAATCTCAAAGTATTTTACAATTCATTATATCTCTTTTAATTATATAATTTTATTTTTCTTTAAACACTAATGAAAAATATCTTTTTTCAAATTTCGATTTCCAATTCAATTATTTTGTATATCACAATGTTTATAATTTTAATATTTATATTGAGTAAAAATATTTTAGAGAACTCGTGCGAACGTAACAGGAATGTGGAAAATGGTTTCCCATATTATCTGAAAATCAATTCGAGCGATACCTATACATTTCTATGCGCAAAGAAATCCTTCCAAAATCATGATTCATCAAAAAATATTCTGTGCTGACGTAACATATATTTTTAATATATATAATTAAGAATCCTCTAGTTTTATAATATTTGAGTATATTATATATTCTTTACTTTAACAAATCTCAAAGCATTTTACAATTCATTATATCTCTTTTAATTATATAATTTTATTTTTCTTTAAACACTAATGAAAAATATCTTTTTTCAAATTTCGATTTCCAATTCAATTATTTTGTATATCACAATGTTTATAATTTTAATATTTATATTGAGTAAAAATATTTTAGAGAACTCGTGCGAACGTAACAGGAATGTGGAAAATGGTTTTCCATATTATCTGAAAATCAATTCGAGCGATACCTATACATTTCTATGCGCAAAGAAATCCTTCCAAAATCATGATTCATCAAAAAATACTCTGTGCTGACGTAACATATCTTTAATATATATATTATTAAGAATCCTCTAGTTTTATAATATTTGAGTATATTATATATTCTTTCCTTTAACAAATCTCAAAGCATTTTACAATTTATTATATCTCTTTTAATTATATAATTTTATTTTTCTTTAAACACTAATAAAAAATATCTTTTTTCAAATTTCGATTTCCAATTCAATTATTTTGTATAATATATCACGATGTTTATAATTTTTAATATTTATATTGAGTAAAAATATTTTAGAGAATTTTTTTATATCAAGAGGATTAAAAAATCTTAGAGTAGAAAAAATAATTTTTTATATTATAATAATTACATTAAAATAGTTTATATTTACGAATATCAAACATTTGAAAAACAATTTTAGCTTTTATATATACTTTGTATACTAAAATATACAACAGTCCTTCGGTCCTCGGTTTAGAAATCAATACTTCTACAGTAGCAAAAAGTTTTAGGGATCATTATGTAAATGTTATACAAAAATTGAAGTGTTACACA